TGCTTTCAGCCTCTATCTAGAGAAACTAAGGGGGGAAAAAAGACTATTTTTTGAAGGAAGGAAAGAAGTTATTTGGGAATTTTCTTAAGTACTAATTCCTTTTCTTCCAAAAGTTTCTTCCCTCCCTGTTTCACTTAGGATAAGAGATGCATTTCTTTCCCAGAGGTAAAAATGTTTCTTTCCCAGAGATACTTGCTATATCATGTGGTTCTAGACATTCTCACTGCGGGTCCCACCTTGGTTGATTGGGGTGTTTTAGGGAGAATACTCAAAGTTTCAGGCAAGGTGCTGGGGTGCAAATCAGATTAAAGGAGGGAGACCCTTGGGGGTCACTGTGTACATTCTTAGCCTCAACATTTATCATAATTGAAGTGCTTTTATCTAAATATCTTGCTTTTCTATTCTAATTATTAGAATTACTAATATTACAAATGGTTGAACACTCCCTTGGATTCTAACATGGTTCAGTCTTTCTCCATCATCTACTATTACTTAGTGTCTGTGAGCTTCGGTTTCTTTGTTGTTGTGAGGATTAAAGGGTCACTCTTTGTAAGATGTATACATATCAGAGTACCTGATAATATGGTGGACTTTACGTAAATGTTTAGATCCGTTTCTGCATTCCTTTTATAGTTAACTATGGCCGACCTGAAAAATAATACAAGCAAACTCAGAAAGTTAATGTAGTGCTTGAGTCATGTGCGTGTACTTTATTTCTAGTGAATCATTTAGTTTTACTGGACAGGTGTCAGATTTAATTTAGTAGCCTATGTTGATTGGTGCTCTTTCTAATGAGTAGAGTGATTTCAGATGCTTTGCATTTTGGGTCATATTAGACCTAGAGAAACCTAGAAGTCATGTAGTCTAGAGGCTCCTAAACTGGTGGGGCAGCAGAATCACCTGGGGAGCATGTTAAGCCTAGATTCTCAAGTTTTGCCCTCAGAGATACTGATTACATAGATTGGGTGAAATTCTGGCAAATCGCATATGAGTCTGATGCAACATTGGACTATTCCCTGTTATCAATCAAGAATCTAAGGCCCAGCTCACACAGTGTTAGAACCAGATCTTGTGTTAATTAACCAAATTACCAATTACATCTTTTTTGGATAATCATTCATCCATTAATTCAATAATCCCCGGTGTGTGGGAACTATTATGTGAGCGCTAAATCCATACTAATAGTACCCAGCCCCAAATTTGTAATGAGAGAACTAAGATAAAATCACAAAGTGATGTTTTAGAAAATTACTTGCAAGGAGTTGGAAAGAAGAGTTCAATTCTTACCTTTGCCATCTATTAGTTCTGTTACCCTGAGCAATTCAGTAAATCTCTCTGATCCTCTCAATGTGGTCACTTGGAAAAATCGAGATAGTACTACCCCTTCCCACCTTGTAGGGTAGATAAAACAAATATGTGATGGCTCTTGGAAAGTGGTAAAAGGCATATAAAAAGTAGTTCAATGAAAGGCATATAAAAAGTAGTTATGCATTCAACATTTTAATTAATGTGCCAAGCTCTGGAGCTTACTAAAACATGGTGCCCGCCCTTAAAGACTGCTAGGAGACAAACACAAATTCTGGTATAAAGTGAAAAATCCTGCTTTAGAAATAATGAACAAAGTTGCTTTGGGAGCGTAACTGAGGGGATACCTGGAGAGAGTTTGGAAGGCTCCTTAGAAGAGGTGGTATTTGTTATGAGCCCTAGAAAGATGAGAAACTTGCCTGGCAAAGAAAAAAGGGAGACATACCTGCAGAAGCCTGGAGTCATAAAGCATAGGAGTGTATTTAGAGAAGAAAGGATATCCTTTATGCTTGGCCCATGGATTGCAGTTGGGGAAATGAGGCTGAAAAAGACAGGCAGGGCTGGACTCCCAAGGGCTCTGTGCCAGGAATTTTAATCTTATCACACATCAAAGGAGGTTTTTGAGCCTGGGTGGCTTGACTAGATAAAACTTTTAGTCAGGCAATTATAGCTTTGCTCTGGAGGAAGATTTGGAAGGAGAATGACTAGAAGTTGTTATTATTATTGCTCTCTTTTGTCAGCAACTTTTAATGTAATGAGCCTGATGACAGCAACCTTTCCCCTATCAGGCGTTTGGGTTGTTTTTGTTGGTCTACATAGTATTCAAACGCATGAGACTTTTGCCTCTGTAAAATTATTTTTCAAGAACAAGGCTCCAAAAGTAGTATTAACAGGTAAAAATATATCTGTTACTTTTCCTTGTATAATACTGATCCTTGTAACGCCTCAGTATTTTTATTTTGTTACAATACAGTGTGTTAATTTTCTGTCACACAGCTATTTCAGTATATTAATACTGTTTCACTATATTAATAGCATTTGGTCCTATCTTCTTTTAAGTTATACTAACAGTAATTTGCTTTAATTTCAGTTTTCTGGTTACCAAGAAGAATTTTTTTTCTCTGTGTATACCATTTTTAACTTCTATGTAAATTCAGCATTGGTATTTTAATTACCTTTCTCTTTTTACTTCATGGATTTTCATATGTCTCAAGTAAAACTGCTAAGTTGTTATAAATAAGTAAATATTTAAGAGAGCATCATTATTACTTTTACAAATACTTAAGCTTGGCTGGGTACGGTGGCTCATGCCTGTAATCCCAGCACTTTAGGAAGCCAAGACCAGAGGATTGCTTGAGTCCAGGAGTTTGAGACCAGCCTCGTCAGTATAGTGATAGCTCATTTCTACAAAAAAAAAAAAAGAGAGAGAGAAAAAAACACAAATTAGCTGGGTGCTGGCACATGCCTGTTGTCCCAGCTACTTGGGAGGCTGAGGCTGGAGGATCGCCTGAACCCAGGAGCTCAGCTGTGGTAAGCTGTGATTGTGCTACTGCACTCTAGCCTGGGCAATAGACTCCAACTCAAAAATAAAACAAAACCAAATATATAAACTTTATAATCTTCCTCAGTGTAAAATAAATGTACTGTTTTTGATATTTGTCTTTTACATGAATATTTGGTTAGTCTCTTCAAGCCATCGTTCACCTCATTGATATCCACTGTCCTACATTTAGTTCTTTTGTCTTATACAAGAACTAATAACATGCTTTTAAACAACAAGCCATGAAGTTTGTGGTATTCTCATTCAATATTGTTCACCATGATATTGAAATTGACTACACTTATTCTTTACAACTTTGACTAAACTTTTAAAGACAAAATTATCTTATACATGGTCACTCTTGGAGAAGACTATTTACCTGTAAATTTACAATGTCAAAACTTCATTCAAAGGTGATCTTTTCTGTAGTTATCAAAAGCAGTTACTATATTCTTACTGTTATAAGTTCTTAAGCTATATACTGGGATGGTATGGCTTTTTCTTCTGAGCACTCTCAAGCTGAATGAGATAATCCAATAAAGTTGTCATTGATTAAGAGGGAAATGTATTTTTTCACTTTCTTAGCTATTTAGAGTTTTCTCATTCTAAACACTCCCTGCTTCTTCTGTCGGAATTGTGCAAGGGGGGCAACTGGGGGAAGCATGGACTTTGAAAAGTACCACCTGGCCTAGTCACATGCACAAAAGTCAGGCATATTGAACCTCTGTCACAGAGTCTGGGTTACTAGCTTGTCATGTACCTAAAAATTTTAACATGCTTCTTCTGTTTAATTAGCTGACTAACTTTAGTGGACTACAAGAACCTGGCCACTGCCTGTGGTTACTATTTTGTGTCACTCAAAGTAGCTAGGTGTTATGTTGACTTGGGTCAGTTAAGAATTTTAAGTTGGATTTAGTTAATTATGGAAATTTGACCTGCTTAAGTTTGAGGAAAGGCTGCTTTTAAACACTAATTTTTGTATCTTAAAATTAATAAATGCATATAGTAAAGAAAATTCAAAGGAATATGAAGTAAAAAAAAAATCTGCCTCTTATAGCCTTAGTCTTACCTCCCATAGATGAGCATTGTTAACAATTTCTTGTGTAAACTTCCAGAAATTTCCTATGCATATTTAGCTATATGTATCTTATCTATCCTTTGAAAAAATGGAAATTAGAGCTGTTTGACATATACATACTGTTCTATACCTTGCTTGTTGTACTTAATGTCTTGTAGATGTCTTTCTATACCTGCACATGTGGATGTACTTCATTATTTTTAAAAACAATATTAGGATTTTCTACATTTTTTTTTTTTTGCTACCTCTACCAGTGCTGCAATGAAAATCATTGTATCTACACACATCTTTGTATATTTTATCTATTGGCTAAATTTCTAGAGATAGAATTTCTGTCTCAATAAAATGCTATCACATTACTTCCCAAATTTGTATGCCAATTTAAAAGTAAGAATTTATGCAAATTACCAAATCCCCAGATTTTGAAGCAATATGTAGGAGAATGAAATTAGGTTGAAATAACACTTCCATATGTACTATACATGTCTAAATTACAAAAGATACACATTGCATACTGGACACTTATTTATTTGGCTTGCTCGCATAATATTTTCTTAAAATGGACCCAGAGTGAAAGAAAATTGGTCACCTCAAAAGAGATTAGGGCAGTTCTCGAGGAAGAAATGCTGTTCTTTAGGAATTGGTTTAGAATTGGTTGCAAAAATCAGGTGAAATACTTTGTGTCATAATGATTTCATGTTTGTAAACTTTAAGAAGCTATATAAGCATTTATTTCCCTTTAGATTTGAGCGGGGCATTTTACTTTTATTCCTTGTAAATTAGGCCATTCTTTAATCTCCATGTCTCTGCCTCTACCTTCATAGCAACAATGTCCTCTGCAGACCTGGTCCAGATTCAGGGAATGGACCATCCAACACTAACAGAATTGGCGAGATTCGAATAGCTTTTTGTTAGCAGCTGGATTTGTGATGTTTTCAAAATGCTGATATGTTTCAACTAGAGGGAGTAAAAGGGATATAGCCTGTGAATCATGTTTGCCTTCCTTTTATTGCTGGGTTATATAATATTTTGCTTTTCTGATAATTTTAATGAGTACCTATGTAATATATTCCACAGATATCAATGGGACAGATGTTACAAGATTTTGGAAAATTTCTTGGGATGTTCCTTCTTGTTTTGTTTTCTTTCACAATTGGACTAACGCAACTGTATGATAAAGGCTATACGGCAAAAGAACAGAAGGACTGTGTAGGCATCTTTTGTGAGCAACAAAGCAATGATACCTTCCATTCGTGAGTGTCTCTTAATTTTTTAGTAAATATATTTCTCTCTTTCTACCATGTTCTACATGAATTAGTACCTACAGGAATGGAATTCCAAATTTTCTTTAAGAAATTCCTTTTTAATGTTTACAAACTTTAATAAATACTTATTTTTCATAAATCATTATAGCCATCTTTACATATAGAATCATAAATAGTAGGCCTAAGTTACTGCATTGTCTTCCTACTGCAGTTGGTCTTAACAGAGAGATTCTCTGCATTTTGTGTACTCTTAACATTTTGGGCAATTCTTTGTCAGTTCCATGTATTGCAAGATGTTTAACATCTCTGCCACTCAAGTATCAAATGTCAGTAGCAACTCTCATTGTTACAACCAAAAGCACTCTCACATTTTCAACACTTAAGAAGTCATTAGAATAGAGAACTTTGTAAACAATTTTTTCTCGAATGTATCAAAAGGAATTGAGCTACTAGTTGTGAGTTAACCAAAATACCTCCCATTTTTAAATAAAATCATGGAGAAAGAGTGTCGAATTATACGTTATTATGTGCCAACTATTCTTTAGTTACTTTGTGTGCCATCTTATTATTTAAAGAATAAGATTAGGCCAGGTGTGGTGGCTCAGGCCTGTAATCCCAGCACTTTGGGAGGCTGAGGCAAGAGGATTGCCTGAGTCCAGGGTTTCAAGACCAGCCTGGGCACTTTGGTAACACTCATCTCTACAATGAATCAAAAAATCAGTCAGCTGTGGTGGCACGCACCTGTGGTTCCAGCTACTTGGAAGGCTGAGGCAGAAGGATTGCCTGAGCCCAGCAGGTCGAGGCTGTGGTGACTGTGAGTATTGTGCCAATGCACTCCAACCTGGGTGACAGAGTGAGACTCTTACTCAAAAAAAAAAAAAAAAAGTTATACAATGATGAGGGCTAAAAAACAAATAAAAAACTTGGCCTAAGGAGTACATATGTGTAAGAGGGTGTAGAGTTAGATAAAGAACTAGGGAGTGCCCCAAAAGAGATGACATTCATGTAAAAATCTAAAGCCACAGTGAGTATATTTGGAGGAGGAACATTCACAGGTAGAGAGGGAACAGCAAAGGCAAATGCCCAGATGTGGAAGCATGACTGACCTATTTAAGAAAAAGCCAGGCAGCTTGTGTGGACGGAATATGGAGGGAGAGTTGTAGAAAATGAGGTCATAAAGTAATGAGATCATGTAGGACCTTGTTAGCCCATTTGAACTACTATGATTGAGAGTTGCTGGAAGGTTTTGAGAGAAGAGTGGCAAAATCTAACTGGGTGTTATCAGGATAATCAGGCTGTTGTGTTGAGAATAGATAGAAAGGCAGGAAAGGGTTAAACAGTTAGGAATCATTTATCTTCCTTTGGATCTATTTCTTTGTTTAAAGTAAGTTATATCTGTACTGTGGAAACCAGCCTTGTTTATTTTATAAAGTATTATTCAAGGATTGTCATTTTCATTTAAATACTTTTTGCTATAAGTGAGTTATTTATTTTTGCTAATTAATCTCTTTAATTTCCTTTGAAACAAATGCAATTGTCTTTGCAGGTTCATTGGCACTTGCTTTGCTTTGTTCTGGTATATTTTCTCCTTGGCACATGTGGCAATCTTTGTCACAAGATTCAGCTATGGCGAAGAACTGCAATCCTTTGTTGGAGCCGTTATTGTTGGGACATACAATGTTGTGGTTGTGATTGTGCTCACCAAGCTGCTGGTGGCAATGCTGCATAAAAGCTTTCAGTTGATAGCAGTAAGTTCACTCTTTTAAGGACTGTATATTTTCTTCAGGTCATACTAAATGTGTGCAATGGATTATAAGAATTGAAAGTTATAAAAGTTGAAAAATAGTATTTTACAATTGAATATAGATTTTTAAAATGTAAGTAATGTATAATTGCAAATCTTGGACCAAATTTTTATCTGCAAGATGTGAAACCCCCCCATATTTGTGTGTTCATATTCTTTTTTGCTTATTAATTTGCCTCCGATAGAACCACGAAGACAAAGAATGGAAGTTTGCTAGAGCGAAGTTATGGCTGAGCTACTTTGATGACAAATGCACATTACCCCCACCTTTCAACATCATTCCTTCACCAAAGACTATCTGCTATATGATTAGTAGCCTCAGTAAGTGGATTTGCTCTCATACATCAAAAGGCAAGGTCAAACGGCAAAACAGTTTAAAGGTAAGAAATTAGAAGCTTGAATGGCGACATCGAAGTTCTAGCAATTCCTAATCTCAGATGTTTCTTAAAGCATAAGTATGCAAGTTCCTTAAGGGTTGTGACTGTCATACTTTTTTAAAAAATTTCTATTTTAAAGTTGAGGAGTACAGTTCAGAGTTAGGTATACAAATGATCATTGCGTAGGTAAAGTTTGGGTTTCACTTTCCACTTCACTTGATTTGAGATCAGGTACCCTTATTGGTGAGGTGTGCCCACCCCTGGATTTCTGTTTTCCACTGCTGTATTACTAATGCTTGACATAAAACCTAACATAAAGTAAGGATTCAATAAATATTTATTGTAAGAGGTAGTACTGAGGTTTTTTGTTTTTTGGTTTTCAGTTTCCTCTAACATTATGAAATCTCATCTCATAGTTTTAAAACGTGGAAAATATTCAGAATACCTATTCTATAACTGTAGATAAAGTATAAACTACTAGAAGCAGTTCATATTTTTCTGGTTCTTGAACATTATTAAATGCATCAATAATTCCACACGTTTCTATAAACTAGAGATTGGAAATTTTTCTTGTAAAGGCCCAAATAGTAAATTCTCTATACTTTTCAGACCAAGACAAAAATCAAAGATACTATGTAAGTAGACATAACATGAGAAAAAACAAATTTCCACAAAACTTTTTGTTTTTTTGTTTTTTTTAGAGATAGGGTCTTGTGGCATAATCATAGGTCACTGCAGCCTCGAACCTCTGGGCCCAACTTGTCCTCCTGCCTCAGCCTCCCAAGTAGCTGTGACTACAGGCATGAGTCACACCTGGGTAATATTTAATTTTTTTTGTACAGATGGGGACTCACTATATGCCCAGGATGGTCTTGAACTCCTGGCCTCAAGCGCTTCTCCTGCTTCAGCCTCTCAAAGTGCTGGGATTATAGGTGTGAGCCACTGTACCCAGCTTCCACAAAAACCTTTATTGACAAAATTCAAAATATAGCAATAACTGAGTAATAATTTTTTTATATTACAAGTTACTAGTGAAAAGAATAGAATTCCTTTTTGGGGGGAGGGGATATTTACTTAAATAGGGTTCAAAATTAATATTCCCTATCATCCATTAATCCCAGCACTTTGAGGGGCCAAGGTGAAAGGATTACCTAAGCCCGTTTGAGACCAGCTTGGGCAACGTGGCCAGACCTCGTCTCTACAGTAAATTAAAAAAATTAGGTAGGCATGGTGGTGCGTATGTGTAGTTCCAGCTACTTGGAAGGCTGAGACAGAAGGATTGCCTGAGCCCAGCAGGTCTAGGCTGCAGTGGCTGTGAGCATGCCACTGCACTTCAGCCTGGGTGACATAGTGAGACTCCAACTAAAAAAAATAAATAATAATAATTTCAAACATTCATCTGTAAGATCCATTCTTAGCTCACAAGCAATGAAAAATAAGTAGGCCATATTTGGTCTGCGGGTTATAGTTTGCCAGTCCCCGCTATAAACTGAGGAGTCCTAAGACAAATTTTTTAAAATCAAGAGAAGCATAAAGATAAGTGAATAAAACAAATGCGCAGGCTGTATTTGTTTTTATTTTTTATTTTTTAGAGACAAAATTTTGCTTGTTGCCCAGGCTGGTCTTGAACCTGGGTTTAAGCAATCCTCCTACTTCCATTCTCCAAAATGCTGATATTATAGGCGTGAGCCACTGCTCCCAGCCAAGTGTTTGTTTTTAAGCAAGTGTTGAATATTATTTTATACCATATAGTAGCAAAACTATAATCTAATAAAGCTTTAAAAGATGTATTTATATGTGTGAGTTTTTAAAAAATATCTGCCTCATTTAATATTATTTCTGTATATCGTTAGAATCATATTGTTGTTTGTGTTGAAGGAATGGAGAAATTTGAAACAAAAGAGAGATGAAAACTACCAAAAAGTGATGTGCTGCTTAGTGCATCGTTACTTGACTTCCATGAGACAGAAGATGCAAAGTACAGATCAGGCAACTGTGGAAAATCTAAATGAACTGCGCCAAGATCTGTCAAAATTTCGAAATGAAATAAGGGATTTACTTGGCTTTCGGACTTCTAAATATGCTATGTTTTATCCAAGAAATTAACCATTTTCTAAATCATGTAGAGAATAATTTTCAATAATAAATCTGAAAGACTATACTGCATAACTTGCAATTAATGAGCTATATATTGAAATAAAGAATGATGTAAAAGCCATTTAAAATATTTATAGTATAAATATATGTTATGTAAATTATGTACATAGAATTAGTTTTCTAAAACCTTCTGTTAGTGGCTTTTTGCAGCAGTAAAACAGATTAAGTAGATAGATTTTTGTTAGCATGCTGCTTGGTTTTCTTACTTAGACGGTCCTTTAAAATGTTTTCTTTTAGCCGGGCTCGGTGGCTCAGCCTGTAATCCCGCGCTTTGGGAGGCTGAGGTGTGTGGATTCCCTGAGCCCGTGGGTTCGAGACCCTCCTGGGCAATTTGACGAGACCTCATCTCTACAATAAATCAAAATTAGCCCGACGTGGTAGCACGCGCCTGTAGTTCCAGCTACTTGGAAGGCTGAGGCGGAAGGATCGCCGGAGCCCAGCAGGTCGAGGCTGTGGTGGCCGGGAGCAGCCACTGCACTCCAGTCTGGGCGACAGAGTAAGACTCCAACCCCCCCCCAAAAAAAATGTTTTCTTTTTATGTTAAGAGGTGCAGTTATAAATGTACACATTGGCCATAAGTTTTTGTAAAATAAAGATCAGCAACTAAGGGCCGATCTCCTTCCACAGAATACACTTGAAATATAGATGTCATGGTTTTTAAAATCTCTGTTTTAGAAGTTCACATATAGTTCAGTATTTATTGTTTAGGAGTATAATTTTATCTAAAATAATAGTCTATTTTTTCTTTTTTCTTTTGCTATAATCTTAAGCAACAAAAAACCCTTAATGAATATTTGAATCTGTTTATGTCTCTTTCAGCTTAAATTCACTTCAGTTTTTGTTATTGTAATATATTTACTTTTACATGGTTATAGTCACTATATTTTTAATTTTTTTCACTTAATATTTTATATATACATTTCCATGTATTGATGTAGTCTACATATTTAAATTTTTATAGAATTATATAGTTTTCAAAAAATATAATAGGTAGATGTTTTTATTTTTTAGCTATAGGGTATTTGATTACATTTATAAGTTTGCATAGCCACTTCTCTAGACATTTGGTTGCTTCTACTTTTTCCTCATAATAGTGCTATTGTTTTTTTTCAAGTTGAAGTGAATGTTTATAATTGTAAAATAGAAAATACTTTTTTACCTTGTGCAGTCACAGTCTATTCTGTTTTTGTAAAACTTTAATGCAATGATTTGTCTTATATTTGGACTAAGGTTGAGCTTATCTCCTGAGGTATTTTCCAGAATTTAATATAGCTTCTGTAAAAGTGACTTTATGCTTATTTGTGGATGATTCTTGCTGCATAAGATGCACTGATTTTTTTAAAATTAGAAAATAAAATATGTACTTAAATTTTTTTTCCTGTGTTCACATAAAGAATGTAGCTAACATTTTTTCACAGGCTGTTACTTAATATTCTTTCAGCATTTTCAGTTAAGAGGGTATTAGATATATAACCATCTTCTTAACTGAATGTTGGATGGTCTTAAGACCACAGGGTGCAGGCAGCCCTTGGTCTATAAGCTCCACCAACCCAGGAGTCATTGACTAAATTTGTTAGTATTATGTTTCATCTTGCTCTTTACTTTTTATTTTTTAATTTCCAAATTTTAAGTATTCCCTCTTTGGGGCAAATTCTTATAAAATGTTTATTGTAAAGTAATATATTTTGTCTACGATGGGATTATGCACTTCCTAGTTGGGATTTTACATCAAGATTTTTAGTCATTCTAAAAAATGCTTAATTATTAAATCAAAATATTTATAGAATGCCTACTGTATGCATGAGTTATGAGATAAATTTTGAATGACAGCATATTGTAAGAAAAAGTTAAATAAAACTTGACATTAGATTGTAAATTGATGGAGTCTGCCCATTGCATTACCATATACTTCAAAAAGTTGAGATTTACAGTAGTGTTCCCTTATCTGCAGTTTTGCTTTCCTTGGTTGCAGTTACTCATGGTCAATCGTGGTCCAAAAATATTAAATGAAAATTTCCAGAAATAAACAATCCTTTAGTTTTAAATTGTGTGCCATCCTGATCAGCGTGATGAAATCTCGTGCCATCCTGCTCTGTCCTGCCATAGATTATGGTATACACAGTAACCACCCCTTAATCACTTGGTATTTTTCTCAGTTATCAGATCAGCTGTTGTGGTATCATAGTACTTATATTCAAGTAACCCTTATTTTACTTTATAAAGTCCTCAAAGTGCAAGAATAGTGATGCTTAGCAATTTGGATATGCTAAAGAGAAGACATAGCATGTTTCCTTTGAGTGAAAAGGTAAAAATCTTCGATGGAATACTATGCAGCATAAACAAAATCATGTTCTTAGCAGCAATGTGGTTGCAGCTGGAGAGCATCATACTAAGTGAACTATCACAGATACAACAACTGAATATTGCATGCTCTCACTCATAAGTGGGCCTTAAACATTAGAATTCAAGCACAAAGGCAGGAACAACTGTTGCTAGGCACTATTAATAAGAGGAGGGAGGGAGGTGGGATAAGGGGGACACAACCATCCACTAGATACCATGTTCACTACCAGGAGAGAGAGGGCTCACTAGAAGCCCAAACCTCACCTGCACACTGTTTATGCAGCAAATCCTCACATGTTCCTCCAACTCTAAATTTAAATAATAATAATAATAGGTCAAAGTCTTGACTTAATAAGGAAAGATAAAAATTGTAGGAATAGTAAGATGTACAGTTAGAAGGAACTTTTTTTTTTTTTTTTAAATAGAGATGAGTTCTCACTATGTTGCCTAGACTGGTCTCAAACTCCTGGGCTCAAACGATCCTCCCACCTTGGCCTCCCAAAGTGCTGGGATTACAGGCATGAGCAACCATACTCGGCCAAAAAGGAATCTTCTATCTGGGAAATTATGAAAATGGAAAAAAGAAATTTGTGCTAGTTTTGCTATGTGTGTCAAACTTCAAAAGGTATGGTATGGGAAGTGCTTAGTTAACATGGAAAAAACATTAAGTTTGTGGATGAGTGGAAGATATGAACTGAAACATGTTCCAATTGATGGCGATTGGGGTTGGTACTATTTGTGGCTTCAGATGTCCACTGGGGGTCCTGGAACATATGGATAAGGGGGAGCTACTGTACCATGTCTTAAAATCATATGCCTACACAAAGGCCTACATGTAAATGATAATAGAAGTTTTATTCATGGTTTCAAACTGAAAACAAATACCCATTAACTGGTAAATGGATCATCAAATTATACATCTGTGCAATGGAAATCTACTTAGCAATAAAAAGAAATTGTATCAGTGAGAGTTCAGTCAGAGAAACAGCTACTAGGATATTTGCAGGCACACAGGTTATGTGTGCATCCAATGATTTGTTTGCAGAAATATGACATTAAAAACATTGTTAGAGTTGACAAGCAGTCTGCAAAATTGTTGATGGATGCTGGAGCTGGAAGCCCAGAGGGTAGGCAGGTGGGAAGGAAAGAAACATGTAAGGTGGAAGAGAGCAAGAACAAACTGAAAGCCCCAAAGAAGTCCCATGTCACTTCTTACACCCCCAACCTCACGATGTGGTATCCTGTGGGAGGACTGCCCTCTGCCACTTGGCTTTTGCAAGTATGTTGGTAAACACACACTTGGACCAGGAATCAGAGAAGCTGAAAGAGGATTCAGGGAAAGGTATAGGCCTGGCTGCCGCCCCACATCAGCAAAGTGAGCCAGCAGATGAGCATCTGTGAGCTACAAAAGTACCTGTGTAAAAGTACAGGATGACTGCTGCTTCCCTTCTGGTCTCCAGTCTCACACTAAAATGTCTCTCAAAACTGGAAGCACTAAAGGAGGAGAATTTGGGGAAACATATTAGGCCTAGCCAAGTAGACACATTGTAAAGCCACCACAGGAACAAACTACTGATATGTGCAATAATATGGATGAATTTTAAGTGTAAGTGAAGGAAGCTGTCATAAAAGGCTATATCCTATATAATTCCATTTATATGACATTCTGGAAAAGACAAAACTATAGGAATTGAAACCAGATCATTGGTTACCATGGTCTGGCGAGGAGACAATTGACCATACAACTCATCAAAGTATATGCTTAAAAAGTGAATTTTGAGAGGCATGGCGGCTCACACCTGAAATCCCAGCACTTTGGGAGGTGGAGGTGAGAGGATTGCTTGAGCCCAGGAGGGTTTCAAGGTCAGCCTGGGCAACTTGGAGAGACCAGTCTCTACAATAAATAAAAAAATTAGCAAGACATGGTGGTGTGTTCCCGTAGTTCCAGCTACTTGAAAGCCTGAGACAGAAGAATTCCCTGAGCCCAGGAGTTGAGGTTGTGGTAGACACGATTGTGCCACTGCACACCAGCCTGGGCAACAGAGTGAGACTCTGACTCAAAAAAAAAAAAGGGAATTTTTATGTATGAAAATTAGGCTTTAATAAATCTGACAATAAGAAAACGGAATCCAAGTCGGGCTCGGTGGCTCAGCCTGTAATCCCGCGCCTTTGGGAGGCTGAAGTGAGTGGATTGCCTGAGTCTGCGGGTTCAAGACCCGACTGGGCAGCGAGACCTCATCTCTACAATAAATAAAAAAATCAGCCGGGCGTGGTAGCGCATGCCTGTAATTCCGGCTACTTGGAAGGCTGAGGCTGAAGGATCGCCGGAGCCCAGCAGGTCGAGGCTGCGGTGGCCGGGAGTGGCCACTGCACTCCGGTCTGGGCGACAGAGTGAGACTCCAACTCAAAAAAAAAAAAAGAAAAGAAAAGAAAATGGAATCCTACAACAGTGCTTGATCCTGCAAGTTGGCAGCCCGTCACTGGTACCAGTGGGGTGAGATACAGTGATGTATGCCAATGTGAAGAAACTTGTATTCCTTTTTCAAAATTATTTTTACTATTTAGGTTTTTTATTTATTTATTTTTATTTCTTTTATTTTTTGAGTTGGAGTTTCACTCTGTCGCCCAGACTGGAGTGCAGTGGCCGCTCCCGGCCACTACAGCCTCGACCTGCTGGGCTCCGGCGATCCTTCCGCCTCAGCCTTCCGAGTAGCTGAAATTACAGGCGCGCGCTACCACGCCCGGCTAATTTTTTTTTTAATTTATTGTAGAGATGAGGTCTCACCAAGTTGCCCAGGCGGGTCTCGAACCCATGGGCTCAGGCAATCCACTCACCTCAGCCTCCCAAGGCGCAGGATTACAGGCTGAGCCACCGAGCCCGGCTAGGTTTTTTATTTTTTAAATAAAAAATTTGATATCTGTT